TCATAAATTGAATTTGTGATATCAGAAATTGAATTTGTGATATCGCAAATTCAAATGTGATATTTTTAATTGACGATTAAAAAATACTTTGGCGTTCCATACTTGGGCAACACAATAACTAATAATAAAAAAAATTGTTAGAAATTTCGCACTTCTGCAGCAATAAACAATTAAAAAAAAAACACCAAAAGCTACAAGTTACACCCAGCGACTGAACTATCTATTGATGGTTTTTGGCATCAAGACTGAGGACACGGACAATGACAATAACGAACAAGACGAAGACCTCGACTAGAAAACTTCAGCCCTGCAGCGAAATAACAACTCCAAATAGTAATCCCAAATGTTTGGAGTAATACTAATCGACTGGTCTAGGGGGATTCCGCGTCGTACTTAGTTTTAAGTCGGCGTAATTATCCCCCAAAAACCAACACCTTCCCGTCCCTCCTTTATACCCCACTGAGCGTATAGCATAGGCTCGGCGAACCCGGGCATGGCTATTAAAACTATTCGCCTCTCGCTCTCGAGCCCCAAATAGGGGACAGTACGGAACGCAATGGACATTCGCACCCAGCAAACACGGGTGAAGCCGTGCAGTTGCTGGGGAAGAACAAAAACGGCGTAAGTAAACATAGGCCTGTACGGGGTTCGAGAGTCAAGAGGAAATGGGGCTGGTTATACGTCTCTTATACTCATACTCATACTCATATACCGTACTGTAACGCAACAATTTACCTTGTGCATTTCAATTTAATATAGTAACTATATAGTAACTTTTCCACTTAAATTCTTTAACGAAATCTTTATTTTTCATTGTTTCATTTTCAATATTTACCTAAAATTTAATAAATTAATTTTCATAAAATAAATTATTTAATTCACATTTAACCACATCTGGGTAGAACCTTTTGACGGCTGGCATTGTTTGAGTGAATGATATGCGTATTCTTTTTGAAAGACCTTTTAATACTTGTTTTGCTGGAAGAAAATAGTAAACATAACCTTTGTGCTACCAACATAAAATTTCGGCGTTTGTGGATTCGGAAAATTTCGACGCAAGGCACTCCGGCAACGTTGCAAATATTCAGTGCAATTTCTTTTTACCAATTTCCGAATATCGGACCGATATTATCGATCGACGTCGTGGCAACTAGGTTGATTTTTTTGTGCGGTTTTTACGCTTCTTGAAAAACAATCCACTCGAAGTAATTTATTCTATGCTTAAAATAAATTCATTTCCTCTTCAAGCTTCGTACAGTCGATATCGTGAAGAATTTCTCGAATAACATTTTCGACGAAATGTTTCTTCTTTTTTGATTTATAAAGAGTAAGTTAAATTAAATTTCTTCTTTCATTTGTTACAATAAATTTTCTTTTATACAGTTCTTTACCGAATTAAACTTAGCAAGATAGATTACTTGAGTGATTCAAAACCTCTGAGTCTGGAGGGTAAGTAGAGCAAGTTTAAGCTTACGTATATTATATTACTTAAAATTTTACTAGTTTTTCCAATGGGGATATAAATGTTCACTTGAAACCCACGCCACGTGCCATTCCATCAAGGGCCACGTGCCATTCCATCAAGGGCCACGTGCCATTTCATCAAAGGCCGCGCTGTATTTAACCAGATCCAGCCAGGAGGACGCGTGTGGTAACGTACCCATTGGAAGTCTTAAATGCTTTAGTAATCTACTTGACTATATATTTTTTTACACCAAGTTAGGCCCCATCAGGGTCTATCCTTGTTTCACTTTTTATATTATTAATATCCTTAAATATATTTTGTTCTGAGTTAGGCCCCTTCAGGACCTACACTCATTTTACTTGATATCTACTAACATTTATTGCATAATGGCAATGATTTTACATATTTTTTTGTTTTGAGTTAGGCCCCTTCAGGACCTACACTCACGTTACTTGATTTTATATTATATATATATTTTTTTCATATGAAAAAACACGTTTAATGTAAACGTACAGTTTTTATGGCCATAAATATTGATTTAATTTGGTTAATGATTTTGTGCAAAGGTGAATATCTTCCCAGCAAGCACAAACATCCTCAGGACGTCCTTGGACCAGCCTAAATGTCCCAGAATGGGATGATCCTATAAGGACTTCCTGAGGACGTCCATAGGTTGACCTTATCGGAAATTAGATCTTTTTTAGGTCCCATTTTGGGATATCCTAGGAACGTCATTTAAGGATGGCGTTAGGACCTAATAATATCCTAATTAAAGCCTAAAATGGGCTGATCATAGGACTAATCCAAGAGACATCCTCAGAATGTCCCGTTAGGTTTTGGTAAACATTTGGTATGCAAATTTTTCTATAAGAATATTTTATCCATATAATTAATAATACCTACATTTTTTTACATAACTTATTTTGCATCGGCACATCTCAAAAATGTCAATCAATATAATTATAATATTACATTATATAGATTTTTTTAAACTTATAAACGACTTGCATACTATATTTTTTCTACGACAATCACAAAAATTAAATAACTTTCAACAATTATATATAAATAATTATTTATAAAATCTGACATCGACCAGTCTATTCTAACCTCACTTTTTAGACCCTTTATTTTGATGGTCATTGTTTCGCAGTTGACAACTGCAATTAACTTCAACCCACGACTAAAATGTCCGAATGTCATTGCTGCCAACTTCAGCCCGTGACTAAAATGCCATAAAGCCACAACTTGTCAATGTGTATTTAAAATATCATGGAAACATGTACGATAATCGGCGTTTTAAAGGCGGGAGTTTAAAAACAATATTATATTTTGTGTATTTGTTATATGACCACAAAATATATTTTGTATACAACTGGATAGCAGCCAACTTAATACGCATGCGCAGAAATGACGGATGGTAATTAATAATTGTTCAAACACCTTGTTTGTAAGGTATTGATACATTTAGAGTTTTATAAATAATAAATAAGGTAGTAAGCGTCAGTTAACCTTAAAAATGTAATTACAAACGCAATCTATAACTTATTTAATAGTTTGTGTTACCGATTGTTTTAAATTTGCCGCCATACGTTATGGTGGTAACACTGGATGGAGAGAAAGCTAAGATGACGTATAGCGTCCTTTAGTTGTTTGACGCCTTTTTGTTAGAAAGAATCATAGATAACACTGTGAAAGGAATTCTTTTTCTGTGTCGTGAACATGGTTTAAGGCCGTGAATCTCGTGTTCTCCAAGTGTGTTTGTTATAATATAATATTATTATAGTGTTGGATATTTCAACAACAATCAGAAAGTTCCAGTGCTTATTAATTGTTTATTTTTAAGTTTAGGGTAGTTGCTATAATAATTTTTTGTTCCATATTAAGTTGTCTTTTCATTTAATAAAATGTTATTTTTGTAATTACTTCAGAAACCTGATGTTCAATTGTTATTCTGTCTTAACCATTTTAATCAGAAGAAAAAATGCCACTAATTTGCTAATTTAACCGACTTTGTAGCTGCAATAATAATGGAGTTAAAATGGTGAGCAGATAACTTTGGACACTGTGTATATATAAATAATATAACTATTATATTTATTTAGAAATATTATTTATTTTACTTTTATAATAGGTGTTTATTTTTTATTTTATATATTTGGCTGTATAAAATTATATATATGTATACAGAATTAAAATAATATATTTTATAAAGTAATAAAATGGCATTTGATTGTTTAAAATGTATCCCCAACAAATAACAAGGCCATTCAGAGGATGTCCTCAGGACATCCCATTCCTGGACCTACATATACCCATGGGACTTTCAGGGGACATCCTTAGGATGTCCTATTCCTGGACCTATATGGACCTAGGGATATCCCTAGGATATCCTAAAGGCCATTTGCGGGACGTCTGTAGGCTGGCCTTTTTTGCACCACTCGGCCATGGTTGGGCTGTCCTGAGGAGGTCTGAGGACGTCCTAGGATATCCTTGGGATATCCCAATATCCTGTAAGGCTTTCCTTAGGACGTCCTTAGGACAGACTTGTGCTAGCTGGGTTATTTTGGTTTATATCTATTGAATATTTGTTTACATAAATAAATATCTTATTTTGATTTATGTCTATTGAATATTGCATAAATAAATCTCTTATTTTGGTTTATATCTGTTGAAATCATATAATGTATGATTGGAACCTCTTATAATATATGCGAAGTAATTCTTAATTTTTTTTTTATTTAAACAACCAAACCCATCCAAACCCTAGACAATAGGTAAACTCTTAATTTGGATGGTTGGCGCCCATAAATTCCAACCTGAGCAAATGTAAGTATAATTTCGGTGTAAACCCCCTATTGCTCGCATTTCCGAAAACGACTCACCCTCGTACTGAGCCCGGGATATATACATATAAAAAAAGGAGCAACCAAGCTGCTACAGTACCTTCATTTGCAAGCTATACATAGGGAAAATACATTGTAACTGGACCAGACAAGTCGAAGTCAGCGCTAAGCGAAAGCATTCCCAGAAATTATTTTGACGCGCCTTAACAATTACAATGCGTCGCGTCCAAATAATGTCTCCGAGCTTTTTCGCTTCGTGCTGACTTCGAATCGTCTGGTCCACATACAATGTTAAATGGAAAATCCCCATGTATAGAGTGCAAATGAAGGTACGGTAGATAAGTAACATATGGGTGATCCTATAGGTTTTTGATTGATATTTGGCAGGAATGAGTTTTTTTAATAAAATTTTCTGCATGAGTGGGTTTTTGACACAAAAGCCCAATGGTTTTTTGCCAATATTAATAGTGGGTTTTTGTGTCGAAAACCCACTTGGGTTTTTAAAATAGTTTTTTGTGTATGCTAACCTTGATTTATTATCGTAGAATTAGGAAATCGACTGGTCTAACGAGACAGTTCTTGAATTCTTGGAGTGGTATGAAAATGAACCCATAATATGGAATGCATCTTTACCAAACCATAAAAATAGGAATGAGGTTTATGATGCTTGGAAACGCATAGAAATTAAAATGGAAAATAAATACACCGTCACTGAAATGAAAAAGAAAAAGGACTCATTAATGGCGTCCTTTAGAGCCTGTTTAAATAAGGTTAAGCAAAGCTTGAAAAGTGGAGCCGGGACCAATGAAATTTACAAACCACCGTGGTTTGCCTATGAAAAAATGGCCACATTCCTTCGAGATAAGGATCTTCCAAGAAAGACAATAAACACATAGGTAGGTAATTATTTAAACCATATTTATTTTATCCATATTTAACAACATAACAATTAAAAAAATTAACCGTATAAAAATAGTGTAATTTTGAATTAGCTATTGATCTTGCCAAGGTATCTTTCCGCTGGTTATGAAGTACTCAGCAAATTCATTTCTAACTATTGATCTTGCCAAGGTATCTTTCCGCTGGTTATGAAGTACTCAGCAAATTCATTTCTAACTTCTTTTGCATCCATGGAAGGCTTTCTAGGAATGTTTCGGAGTGGTAATAGAGATGTCATAGTGTCTGTATTTGCTTGACGTCACGCGCCCTCTATAATGTTTCCATCTTCTTCATAATCAAAGGTACCAGTTGGAGAATATAGGGATCGAGATGACCTTCTTCTTCTTAAAAAATTGTGCAAAACAACACAAGTCATAACAACTAAAGCAACCTTATCAGGTTAAAGCAACATTGGCTTTCGAAGTACTCTAAATACATTAGCCAATAGTCCGAATGTATTTTCTACAATTCTACGTGCTCGTGATAGGCGATAGTTAAATATTCTTGACATGCTACCTTTGTCATGTTTGCCTGGGAATGGTTTCATAATTTTTTCTGTTAATCCAAATGCGTCGTCTCCAACAAAAACATAAGGCACTTCTCTATTTCTTCCTATCAGTGGCTCTGATGGAGGGCAATGCAATTCATTTTGCTCGATTTTCGAGCGAGTATTTCGGAACACTGCTCTATCACTAAGTCGACCTTGGCATCCACAGTCAGCAAACATGAAACAATAGTCAGCATCTACTAAAGCCGTCAATACTACACTGAAATGTTGTTTATAATTGTAGAATTCAGAACCAGAATTAATAGGCGCTTGTATCATAATATGTTTTCCATCGAGGGAACCCATGCAGTGTGGAAAATTCCAGTCCTTGTCAAATTTTTCAGCAAAACTTTTCCATTCATTAGCACTCTTGGGAACCTGAAACAAAAAATATTATAATGCTATGGATAAATAATAAGTAATATAATTCTAATAGTTAACTAAAATTTAATGTTTTAGGACATTTTGACCGAAAAAGATGGCAACAATGATGAAGAAAAGACTATTGCTGGTGTTAACACGGAAACTGAGAGACCTGCACAGGATAATATTGAAAATGACGGTATGTTTGCCAACACAAAATACTAATTTTAGTGATGTATTGCAGTAATTTCATAATTGAAGCTTTGGTATTGCCGTCGATTAAAAAGTTTACGTTTAAAGCTCCTGCACGAAAAAAGTGTAAAGTAGCTGAAGCTCAAGAAATTAAAGATAAAATGGACAATGCTTATTCATTATTACAAGATATAACTATCAAATCTCCCAAAGAACGAAATATTTGTACAATATATGGGGAACTAGTAGCTGCAAAACTACAAGAAATGGATGAACAGACTAGAGAAATTTGTATGAATAGAATAGAAAACTGTTTGAAATGAAAACGAAAACTCGCCAATTGAATATTTTATATGGCCATGAAGAAAGCCCATCGACTAGCTCTCAGTCAAGTTCGAACCATAGTTTTGTTCAACCTTCACAGTCATTTTTAAATAAAGAAACTTTATTACTTCAAAATTCTGATATTGCTGATGGGAATTCTATTCCTATAGTACAATATTTTACTAATTTTGAATAATGCTACTTATAATAATTATGTTTCTTAAAACTATTTCTTGAATAAACATTTTAATTTTAATTATTAAAAAGTTTTATTTAATTAAAAATTACCTTAACATAATCCTGTAAAACTGCAACGATAGCATTACAAACTTCTGGGATTATTTCGGAAATAAGTTGTGGTGAAACTTGTAGTGAAGGCTTTTAAAACTGTCTCCTGTTGCAAGAAAACGGAGGGTTATGGCCAAACGCTCATTTGTTGGAATCGCTTTCCTCCACTTAGTATTTTTTTTACCAATCAGTGGTTCCACTTTTGAAAGTATATACTTAAAATCCTCGATTGACATTCGGCAGAAATTTTCAAATTTTCCGGAAGGTTCCTTTAGCAGATCTGTCATTAAGTTTGTGGCACTATAACTAATAATAATAATAATAATAATAATAATAATAATAATAATAATTTTATTTATTGCCCAACAGTTTTCACAATAAAGGACATTCAAATAACAAAATTACAGTAGATACAAAAACAATTAGTAATATACATAAAATAAATAATAAAATTAATATACTTAAATATATAAAGTGGTGTTTAAAAAAAAGTAGACAACGGATAAAAAAAACCGCAAATATATAATAAAAAAAAAAATTATTGACAAATATAATAATTAAATGGTTAAAAACATTGTAGTATACTCCTCAGACTAGAAAAATTAATATCACAATGACTTGCTACTTTATTAAAAGTTAGGGACATTTTATATATCGGCGACCTTACTAACATGTTGGTACGTGCCCTTGGACACTTAAATACTAATGTTTGCCTATTATTAGGTCTTGGTACATAAAAATTTAACTGTCCCAGTAAGTCACTACAGTCTATAACATTATGAATTAATTTAAATAAAAAGGTTATGCAGATTTTATCCCTTCTTACACTTAAAAATTCAAAATTAAAGGTATCAAGCAGTACCAAATGATCAAAACCCTGAGGGGGATATACTCCAAACGTTTTGTAACTTAAAAATTTTAGAAATTTACGTTGCACTGATTCAATTGATTGAATGTGGCACAGGTAAATTGGCGACCAAACAATCGAGGCGTACTCCAACTTGCTGCGTACCAATGCATGAAACAATAGCTCAAGGCTCTCAGGTTTAGAAAAGGTTTTGCAATTTCGGATTATAAATCCTAATGTTTTATATGCTGATTTTGTAGTGATAGCGATATGTTCGGTAAAAGTGAGATGCGTGTCAAAATAAACTCCCAAATCCTTCATTACACTGACTGACTCCAAGCTGACCTCATTTATTTTGTAATTAAAAATAACTGGATTTACTTTTTTAGTGTATCTGCCTATTTTACATTTCGATATGTTTAAAGTTAATCTGTTTGTTTTACACCATTGACCTAAAATATTAAGATCATCTTGGAGATTAAGACAGTCATTTATAGAAATGACTCGAGAGAATATTTTGAGGTCATCAGCATATAAAAGCTTCAAAGAGTTTAGTTTTGGGGGCAAATCATTGATAAAGATCAAAAACAGCAAGGGACCTAAATTGGATCCTTGTGGAACGCCAGAACTGGACACAAAGTGTTGCGAATTAAAGTTATTATATGAAACAAATTGTTTTCTGTCTATTAAATAGGACTGAAAGAGTTCCACAAGAAAGCTATCTAAACCAAAGCTTCTCAGTTTCTGTAACAATATGTAGTGATCAATCTGATCAAATGCTTTCTGGTAGTCAGTGTATATAACGTCGAGTTGAGAACCTTTATCCATTGTTTCACAAGCATATTGTGTAAATGAAGCCAAGTTGGTTATCGTGGATTTTTTTTCAACAAACCCATGTTGAAAAGGAGAAATAAAAATTTTCAGTTGACAATATAGTTTGGAGTAAATTATCATTTCAAATATTTTAGCGAAGTTACAAAGTATAGAAATTGGTCGATAATTTGTTATACAAGATGGGTCTCCTTTTTTTAACACAGGTACAATTCTTGAAATTTTCCATATGTTCGGAAAGGTTTGACATTTAATTATTTTGTTAAAGATTAGTAAGAGAGGTGAAACAAAGGCACCACAGCAATCTTTTACAAGAAAGCTGGGTATGTTATCTACCCCAGCAGTCATTTTGTTATTAAGTCTCTTAACACAACCAATTATATCACTTTCATTTATGCAATCCAATGTAACGTGGCTAAAACACAAATCTGAATTCACATTAGCCAAAGGAATTGATTCTATATATACACTTTTAAAAAAGTCGGCAAAGCCATTTACTATATCATTAGGAGTTTGAAAATCTTTATCATTGTAGCTTACCCTTCCCGGAATACGCGAATATCCTTTTTTTGATTTAATATATGACCAAAATGATTTCGGTTCATTTTTTAAATTTGATTCAATTTTATTTATATATTTCTTATAAGATGTTTTTATCTGTTTTTTTACTAATGTTCGCGTGTTTTTGTATAAGTCATTATACAAACCACCCAATTTTTTATTTTTCTTGTAGTATTGGTCTTTTTTTTTAATGTTTTTAATTATTTCGCTGGTAAACCAGGGAGGGTAGGTACGCTTTATAGGTTTAATGGTTTTAATAGGAATACATGTATCAAATAATTCGTAAATAATTTTATAAAACTTATCACACATAACATTAACATCATCAATTTGTGACAAAAAAGACCAATCTAGTTCCAAAAACATACTATACAGTAATAGATAATCCGCTTTCTTAAAATTATAGGTTTTTTTCTCTATATTAATATTAAAGTTTATAGGTACAGCTAGCTTAACACATATATTTAAAGGAGGATGGTAAACATCAATATTAGTAAGTGGGCTTTCATTTAAAGAAATTATACACTGTATATTCGAAAAAACCAGATCCAAAAGTTTATGATAGCTATTTTTAATTGTGTTAAACTGAGAAAAGTTTAACAATTCACTAAAGGTGGTTAAAGAAAAATATTTTGGATCAGTATTATCCATATTTATGAAATTAGAGACGTTGAAATCACCTAGAATAACAACATTTTCAGTTTGTATACACTCTAAATCAGATAAGAGTTCAAAAAAAGTTTTTAAATCATTAACCATAATCTTTGGTGGAATATATATAACAATTAAAGTTAATACTAAATTAGACAAGTACAGCTTACAACCTACGATATCTATACATGAAATAGTGTTTATTACACTGCTAAAGTCTAGTTCTTTTATTTGAAAATGATTGTTCACTGCAATTAATACGCCACCACCTCTAAAACCATTTGACACACTAAATCTTCTATCACAACGTAACACACTGTATAAATCAAAAAACAATTCAGCATTATTAACGTTTTCAGTTAGCCATGTTTCTGTTAAGCAAATAATTTCGTAATCACAGTCACTCACTGCAACTGAGAAATCACAAATTTTTGTATTTAATCCTCTAACGTTTTGATAGTATATATTTATTTCTTGTAATGAAGTTGGTGATAAAGAGTTGGGCATTAATTGTTTAAATTATCTTTGACAATCGTTGGAACATCGTTTATATATTTTATTATAACACTTTCTCCCTTTTCTTTTCTTTCATCTAGCTCTTTTTTAATTAACCTATAAAAGTTATTTTGTTTTTTCGTTTTGTCTCTTGAGATAGAGATATTACGAAAGTTAGAACTATCTTTTAATTTATATGCATTTTTTAAAATTACAAAAACGTCAGCCTCTCTGGAAAAACAAAGTTTAAGAGGGCGAGTTTTGTTTGTAACATATTTTCCCAGACGAAATGGTTGATTCTCAATTCTGGTTTCAGAAGATATATGGGATATGAGATCTACAGCAGTTTGCTTATCTTGAGCTAAGCGTTCGGTATTATTGTTGCCAACAGGTTCTGGAACATTGAACAATATTATATTTTTCCTCTTTTTTTCGCGAGCCGAAATTTCTGCAATGATGTCTTCAACAAGTGTTTCTGGTAATACTTCAGTAGATTTAGTTGAGCTTTGAGCTTTTAGTTCCTTAACTTCCTCCTGAAGAGCTATTATTGCAGCTTTCAATGAATTCAAATCGTTGCCCATCTCTTCACAGTTTGGACATGTCCAACTTAAACCCTTAATGGATTTAAATGATCTTATTTCAGCATTACTTAGCTTAATGCAGTGGCCGTTTATAATTTTTTTACATACACAACAAATAAGACTAAGGTGCTCTTCTGTAGCCTTGGAGCAACAAGAACATATGGTATTATTTGGCATTTTGGTTTATAACAGGTTCAGCAAATAAAACACAGCAGCGGCAACGTTGCGCTATTCTACTCGCTAACCACAAGTAACAAAAAAATTGTTTATCGAGAAATGTTTATCGTAATATTAGTCTATAATAATAAAATTATCATGTAAAACTCACAGTTTAGATCACATTACATCATGTAAACACAAGTAACATAATTTATTTTAGTTAAAAACTTTAAATTATGAGAAAAACTATGCAGCGAGAAATACACGTTTGGATCTACACGGTTGCCACGTATATATATATATATGTTTTAGTTATATATATATATATATATATATATATATAACTAAAACAAAACATTTTAAATAACCTGAATCTCTTGCTTAAATACATATAAAAATTAAACATTAATGTTAAATTTTAAAAGGGAAACTGATAACAAGAAATTATTTCCAGCTTCAATACTTACATTTTTCTGCTTTTATTAAGTGACACCATCCACCATCTCCTTCTTTTCGGCTTCTTTTTTATTTTGCCCAATAACATACTACCACAAGATATGACTGTAAAAGTAGCTAATAGCACTGT